AGCTTGCGGAGAGTTTTACATCCTGATGAAAACAAGCTTTTTATTTGCAGGCTCCATAAATCAAGCTGCAGTTTATACTCAATGGTGACCCATCTCTTATTGATTGGGTTAGTCTAATGTTTTAGTCAAAGTAAGGCAAAAGGGCGGCAACCTGTGCTTAGCTGACCGTAGTGCTTTACGATTCCTTTATGTATTAAATATTTGTTAAAATATATTGTATATTAAAAAAATCATAAAAAACTAAAATGGTATAATATAGTTTACCTTTAAGAGTAAAAAAGTTTTACGTTTTTTGTTTTTCCATTTTATTTGTAGTTTATATCATTTTGTTAGCATTCATCATGGAGCTAAAATGTCAAGCAAAAAGAGTCCATGAGACATGTTAATTTTGGGAGGGCTGGCCTTTTAAAGTGTATCTACAGGCAAATACATTGTATTTAAACCATTGTGTGAATTGTACATTCCGCTTTATCTACACTCATACTCAGTATACTTTTTTCTTCCTTCGTATGCCTCTGGATGTACCTGTTTATCTGGCCAATTCACTCTCCTCCACATATTTTACTGCAAAAGGGTGCCAAAGCTTGGCGGCTGCTGCTGAAACCACCACAGCATTTTCACCCTTTCTGCACTGCATATGTCTATTGAGTTCACTGGATATAGTTCATGTAAAGATGTCACTTCCTCCTTTTACATCACGGTTCTAGTCCCTGCCCACTTTTTGCAGAGAACAGGGGATGAATGAGAGGGTTTGTAGTCATGTGACTGTAACAGGAAAGAAAAAAAAGCATTTAGATGAATTTTTTTAACAAACTTGCATTGGCTAACATGTCTTTCTAAGAGTTGTATTTTTGGCTGTTGGAGTGCTGAGCCTTGACATCTACTTTTATATTGGTCGTAATTCCAAAAAACCTCTTGTATTTCAGCCTATATTTTTGGCATATTTTTAGCTTTTGTTTACGCATTTCATGTCCTGCTAATTTAAATATACAATAAATAATAATTGAGTTTAATAAACACAAAATATTGCATAAAATATGCAATATTTTATGCAATATTTTGGGAATATAAGGGAAGCAGGGCAGTTCAAACATTTATTGAAGATAGTCTAAAACACATTCATTTAAAGTGTGAACTAATGTTTGATAGTAGATGACTCAGACCCAAAGCTTGGTCTAAATGACAAGACAACCAGGTTCCCAATGACCCCATGGCCAGTGTGCCTCTATGCAGATAAGGTGACAACAGTATATAAGTGTGTTTATATATCAGTGGCGTAACAACTGGAGGGGCAACCGTTGCGGCTGCCCCGGGCACACAGCTGTGGATGGCGCAATGAAATGACAAGCGAGACCCGGGGAAAGGCTGCAGCGGTGTGGAATCCCAGCGGGTGGTAAGTTGCTTTTTACATTAAGTCCTGCTTTGCACAAGGACTAAATGTAGTGTGGGGAAGCCGATTGTTTGTTTACAAGTGATCTCGGCGATGTCGCCAAGATCACTTGTAATAAGACGGCAGCCAGTCCGTCCACATCCCCCCCTCCCCCACACCTACCTTTCTCCTCGCTGTCTCTGTCCGGGCGATCTGTGTTTTGTTTTGTTTTTCTTTCTGAGATCGGGAGCCGCCGATAGCCATTTGGAATGCATAGCTAGATTCCTATTGGCTATTTCACTTTGCAATAGCCAATAGCAAACCAGCTATTGCACCCACCACCTGCAGCTCCGTGTAAACAGCGAGAGGGGAGAGCAGTCTTCCCCTCTCACCTGTCACAGGAGTCACATCACAGTGCTGTGCTAGAACTCCTGTCTTGGAGGTGACAGGTTCAATAAAGAGAACCTGTCACCTCCAAATGCTATCACACAGGGACTTGTTAGCTCCTGTGTGATAGCGATAAAGTTAAGTGGAAAAAAATTGATAAAAAAATAATGAAATAAATACAAATACAAAATAATGAAATAATAAAAAATATATTAAATTAAAAAAATAAAAAGGTGAATAAAAAGTAAAAACTATCATGGCCCACTTGCCATGATAACCAGTTTATTGGCAGGCTCCTTCCCTACAGGGACCCGGGCTCCCCTGCACAGAACGAGGACAGGAGCCTGCCAATCAGCTTGTTACTATTCCCTGGGTGATATTTGGGGGCGTACAGGGACAATGAGGGCATGCTGGAACTTGAAGTTGCCTGGGTAATATTTTGGGGAGGTGTAGAGGGACAATGAGGGTATGCTAGGACTTGTAGTTCAATTACGATATGTCCCAGCATGCTCTAATTTTACCTGTTCACCCCCACATATCACCGGGGGGGGGGCGCAAAATTGTGTTCTACCCCGATCGCCTGTTACTCTAGTTACGCCACTGTTATATATCTATCTGTATTATTATGCTGTATTATTAAAATTTCCAGCATCCTGCTTTTCATGAAGCGTCTTAATTGCCTTTGCTGGCAACAAGGTAAAAGCTTTTTGGATCACATGTAGATTCAATAAATTACATTTGTTTTCCTCAGACCTATGGAGAAAGATATTCAGCAACAATACAACTTAATGGTGCCCTAGGAATTTATTAAATGATTTTTGATTCTTGAGAAAACTGCCTAATGGAAATTCTACAAATGCCAGACTTTGTTATGCCTTTGGGGGGATAGTGTTCCAAGATAAACATTAAAACAGCAGCACACTCAACTATTAGGGTCTAAAATGTGCTTTTCTAGAATAAAAATAACTTAGCTTGTAAAACGTGTTGTATTTGCGGTTACAGTGACAGATATATTTTATGTTCTCCTTTACAGTCTTACCCCGGACATAGCCTAGAGAATGAAGATTTTAACATTCCACCTATTACACCACCATCACTGCCAGAGCATCCACTGATGTCATTGTCAGAGGCGGAGTCAGGATACCACTCATTGTGTCACCCCATGAACCAGAATGGCCTACTTCAATTTCACCCTCAAAATATGGATTTGCCAGCAATTACAGTATCAAATATGCTGGGTCAGGATGGGTCTCTAATTTCAAACTCCCTTTCAGTGGTAAGATAATCTGTTCCTGTTTTGATGGTGTATATGTTATGAAGAAAATATGTCAGGCAATGTAAAGCCTGTTCCCGTGGCTAATTTATGACTGAAGCATATGCCGTTTGTCAGGACTGTCATATATGAATTTTAGGAATTGCAGTTATCCGATTACTTGTTAATGCTCCAAATTAAAGTCAGTGTGCTATTATGTTCAACGAATAAGTAGATAACAGAACCCTTATTTATTGTTGCCCTTTTTAGTTATTGTGTATATAACACACAGTGGCTTATTGGTTAGCACTTCTGTCTTGCAGCACTGGGGTCCTCGGTTCTAATACCAGCCAGGACACTATCTACATGGAGTTTGCATGTTCTCCCTGTGCTTGCATACCGATAAACACTGGTTTCTTCTCACACTCCAAAGACATGCTGGTAGGTTAATTGGCTCTTTGTTCTAAATTCACCCTAGTATGTGTATGCATGTGAGATACGGTCCATAGATATTAGGCTCCTTGAAGGCAGGAATTGATGTGTATGTAAAGCGCTGTCTAAATTGTTGGTGTTATATAAATACCTGTAGTAAAAAGAATATAATGTTAGATATGCAATATGTAGAAGTCAGTTGCATTCTTAACTCCTCTACCTAGGTTTAAAAACAGTTGTGTTTTTTTGAAAAAGGATTTATCAGATATTTGTGAAACAGTACCTGTAAACTTCAGGTTGTCTCCCACCCCCCTTTCCCTTCCCCCCACCATTAAACACCTGTTCTTAAGAATATCTTAAGCTGGAATTGGGCTTAAAAGCAGGTGACAGGCAAGGAGAAAGATCAAAGTACGATTATATGAGTGGGCCTTCCATACAGTTTGAGGAAAATGAATGTCTGTTTCAGGCCTCTGAGAGCCCAAACAGGTAATCACATCGAATAAGGATATTGTTTTTGTAAGAGAATAAGGATATGAGCATATTTTGAATCAGTATAATTTCCTTTCAGAACTGATTTATTGGTTCAATATGGAGTTTTAGGTAGGTTGACCTCGTAGACATACAGTATTTTTCTTTAGGCATAGAGATAACAATAATGCTAATAAAAGGCCAACGTTATTGTTAATTCCATCCTTTAATGTTTCATTTAGAACATTATAATAATCATATATCCAAAAGAGCAAGAATCCATCCATTGGCCATTGGTGCTTCTATAGTTGTTTTTTATTTATTAAAATCCTGATGTTGGGCTTCCTGTTTCAGATATTTTTAGGCATGTGCCCATTTTGTCTTATTTATAAACTAGCCTTTAAAATATGGCTAACTAAGATTGAGTTGCTCAAGAAAAACAATCTCACCCCCAAAACTCTTAGGCTTATGAGCACTGCTGGTAAATGCAAGTGTCGTTCTTGGCCATGTAGATCAAGATGAACTTACTCTTCCTCATCAGACTGTATTGAGTTGTCTCTAAATCTAACTGAAACATATATCCTACTTTTCTGATCTTGACAAATGTTTAGAATATCTAACAATTCAAGCCAGAACAAGCTGGCAACTTGTTTAACAATAGTTTTTTACAAAATAATTTACTATTTTAAATACATAATAAACAATGGCATCATTTCCCACTCCTTCTCTTTTTTATGTTGCTAAGAAAAGGCATGCCATTACCACATGGCACAAATAGGATAGAAAACAAATAAGAAATAGAATAGGCAACAAACAAAGGTCTGAAATGGGTGTCTTAATTGCTGCATTTCTGCACTGACAGAGCCAATTCTCTTTGTAGTCAAACATCACTGCTTTGACAACCCACACATACATATGTTTTGCGCTGTGCCTATTGAAATAAATATTTTTTTTTCCTTGGGTCTACTGGGAATGCTGTAAATCAGCAAATGGAGATACATTAAAGCTGCATGAATTTCTAATACAGTATGTTGCTATTACAGAAAAAAGAAGCATTCGCATATTGAATAATGCAGCTTTCAAAGCTCAGCAGAAAATTTGATTACAAACAATTTGATTACAGGTTTCTGAAGAAATATTTCCAAAATATTGTGGCATTTTGCTCCCGTAATGCATAAAACATAACAGCAGACCCGTCTGCAAGTTCTTTTAGGACAGTAAAGAATAGATGATGTCAACTCTAATTACTTCAGTATCAAATAAGGCAAGCATTAGTCTGAAATGAAATGGATGTCACATTGTGTAAAAAGAAATGCTTTTAGACAATGTGACAGGGGATAAAGGCAATGAATAATTAGATATTCTTTGCACAATTTATCATAGCTTTATCAGTCGCGCCTTTTATTTTAGAAATTATTCCATTTTATTCAATAACTTAGTACAAAATACAGACAGTTTTTCTATGTCTTGGGCATCTCCCTAATTTGTCATTCCTAGTGTTTACAATAGTTAGAGTCTAACATTTTTTGAGTTATCATTTTTTTAAGCCTTTAAAATGTGTTTTTATTTTGTCTATAATATTATGTGATGTTCCCATATTCTCTAATAGAAAATAACATCTGAAACAAATCATAAAATCTTCCAGTAACTTGGAGAAACTCAAGAGTCTGAGATTGAAAAATACAAAAATACACCATATTCATTCTCAAAAAGCATGAATTTTCAAAGCAATGCCCTTCTAAAGGGATCATTTAGTTATGACAGCCCAGTCAACAAGAAACTGATATCTGTAAATTTTGGTTTTTTTATTGTTGGTTTTCATAGTATAGATCTGAACAAGTGAAAAGTGCCTGTATGCTGCAGCATTAATAGATTACACCACCACTGGCAAATTGTTTTCCATCTTCCATTATGGGATATAGACAAAAGATATGCCAAATATAAAGACTATTATTGTTCTAAAGATTGATCAGCTGAATAGGTTTCTGCTCAACCAGTGCATCTGCAATAGAATACATAGTATGTCTGATGATGCAGCAACAACCACAAAAAATAAGGTTCATGCTACCTGTCACATTACAAATGTTCATAAATGTACTTGGTTGATGTTTTTATGCTCAAGGGCACCATCTTCAGAATGTGTACAGGAAATGAGGCCCTTGAGCACAGACACATTGACCAAATACATATATGAGAATTTGCAACATAATGTACAGCACAAATCTTTTCAGGGAGTCATCATGAAATAAAGGTGAAGGACAAGGTATAGCGTATTCTAAAGCCAAGTAAACACATTCATTGTCAAGGTTCTAGAGGTCTCTCCTTCATACTTATAATAGTAGAAGTATGAAAAAAAGCCCCAAAATATAATAAAGAGATAACATACTTATAGAGCAGGATCACGGGCTCTTTGCCCTTCAAAACAAACTGATTTTGTATGCCTTTTGAAATTCTGGAAGACTTCCTTGGATTTATCCTCTAAGAGTAGGTGATTTGCCACTTCCAGAGGATATCCAGCCTATTCTTGACATATTAAAAAGGAATGATGTTTAATAATCTGTTCAATCAAATATTACCTACTGGTTGTTTTTAATTTGTTGCTGTTGGATACTACTTTCCATTTCTTTAGCTTTTGAAATGAATTATGCTTATACTTGAATAAGTAATTTTTTTTCATGTCTATATTTTACCTCCCAGTGTTAAAATTACATGATTAATAATGAGATAATTTATGTTTATATTCAGATTTGTAGTTCAGTAGCACCAGAAGAACAAAGGGTTGGTTAAATGTGAATATCAGTGTTGGAAAATGTAAGAAAAAGAGCTAACAGATTGAACAAATCTAGTGCATGATCTATGCCTTTAATGGGGGTGCTAACCCTAAAGTAGTGTTAAACCCTCAAACTTTTTTCAATAATAAATCCATATCAAACAAATATACATTACATATACATGCCCAGTAAAATATTTATTTAAACATTTGCCTGAACACTTACAGTCATCTTGTTTCTGAACAGCTGGCGTTAGCTCTTGGCTCAGCTTCCCTGAACTTCCTGTTGAGTACAAGATCACAAGGGACAGTGCAGTCTCCAGCAGCTGTTCATTTACTGGAGAAGGCAAAAGGGTAGAGAAGGGAGCAGGGGGAGTTGAAGGGCTTGCTTTGCTGTGCCTGTGTGTTTGTGAAGACCCACACAGCTTACTAGCACATGAAGGTGACTCCATAGGAATCTTGCAAGGGAAAGGAGTCACCTTAAAACAAGATATCACAGCCAGTGCTCAGGGAACCAGCTGATTCTGAAGAAAACTAAAACCTTTAAACATCAAGGAGCAGCATCCACAGTAAGGGATTTAATCAGCATTTGAAAAAGCTTAAAAACATTTTGAATATAATATCAGTTTATTCACAAAATAGCAACTGGGTGATAAGTTTGAGGGCATCCTACATCTAAATATAAAAAATGCCAAGTAATATACCAACATTTGTTATGGCCAACCTATTGGCATAATTGGCATTATAGCCTCAAATATCCTGGCCTATTTTGACAAATATTGAACTTTTTCTAGCTATCAAACACATGATTATAGCACATGCCTTTGTAATGGTAATAGAAGATATGTGGGACAGTTTTACAAGGATTAGACTAATAGCTCAGTATCCCAAACCATATTATAAAAAGCATCAACAGAGATTTACTTTTTCATTCTTGGAGTTTGCATAGTAAAATAACAATTATATATGTGCTAATGGTACATCATGTGGTCTGTTAATAGGTTTTTAAAAATATTATAATTGCTTCTATGTGAACAGAACATCTTTTATTGATGGGCTTGAAAAAGCATGAGAGTTACAGGTAAATCTATTGCAAGAGGCTGGGGAACTTTCCAAAAGCATACATACCAGATTATTTTTATGTAAAAAAAAAACTAAACAAGAAAACATAATTTGAAGAATGTCATTTGTTTAATTTATTTTGTGGCAGGCCATCTTATGACATCTTAAAAGCTGTCATTATACACTGCATTGTTTAGACATTCACACGACTTCTGTTTCTACATTGATCATTGTATAACAAGTGCTATTTCTCAAAGGTATATTCAGTTACTGTGAATCCAAATTCTTCACT